ATTCACAGAAACTAGATTTAAAAATGAGATTCAGGAAAACGCTAATTATTTGTCGCCCTGCTAAAGTATAATTACTAACAACACACCTGTTACAATTCTGTTATTAACTTCACTGTTCTGATACCTTGTACCTATTCGTTTCACTTGTACCGAACAAATCTAACCTTAACACAGGCACACAGCATGCCTTGCAGATTAATATCATTAACCGATTAATAAGTAAAAGTTAATACACAAGCCCACATAGTTTTTAAAATATAAATGCATTATAAAACGAACAATAAATTAATAAAATCAGAATAACCGAAAGATTGATTCAGTCGGCTTAATTATTAGGCAACACAGACAGCGAATGATGACCCATCAAGGGTAGGATTTAACGAACATGAAAGGGTGTGGAGTACACACAGCTTCCAAATGCGTTCTTTGCGATTCTGCACCTATAATTGAACCTGACGTTCATTTACTGCACATAAAAATCCAGTTACAGAGCTGATTACTACCAGAATTCAAAAATCAGTAACTACTTCTCACTGTACCTCGTTAAACGCGGGCCAAAACACGTCGGAAAATGTTTCAGGCAAAGTGATACAATCTCGTAGGAGACTTATTTATTGTAAAGACTTTTCTATTTCAGCTTAGTATAACGTTGGGATTATACCAGGCCGATACGAAACAAATTTACATTTTCCCGACAACATTTAAATGGTTAAGCGATGAAACTTGTGTAGGGACAGACATGAATATCCCATACTATGTATTAGCGTAATTAACGTTGCACAAAGAAGACATAAAACACAACCAATCCAAGTAACAACTAACTAGATGGCTTACGGAACTCAAAGGTTCATCACCGAATTCACCAAAGCCCTCCACCGGACCCTGTCCTGGGCCACCAACATCCAGTCTCCTTCAACTATCTCCCACAGATCCCGCCTGACATTATCCTCCCATCTACGTCTAGGTCTCCCCAGCGGTTTTCTCCCCTCAGGCTTCCCGACTAACACCCGCTGCACATCTCTTGCTCCTTCCATGCACGCTACATGCCCCGCCCATCTCATTATTCTTCTTCTTCTTCTATGGCTCTCCGGTCCTCATCAATTCTCCTCTTCCATTCACTCCTCTGTTAGGTCCGCCATCTGATTCTTCTCGACTTAATCACCCTGACAACACTGGGGGGAGGAGTATAAATTTTTAAGTTTATCATTATGCAGTTTTCTCCATACCCCTTCGTCTTCTCTCATAGGCCCAAATATCCTCCTCAACACCCTATTCTCACTGTGTTCCTCCCTCAGACTGAGAGACCATTCAAGTAACAACAGAAAACATATCACCAGCACCACAGAAATATCGAAACATTAATCATTATAAGCAGCCAAACGTTTCCTACGCTTATGTACCGAAATGCCAAGCTAACGGTCGCGTAAATTAACCAATCAATGTAGGAAAAATAAGAAAAGCTATGACAAAATTTATTAATCTGGCATATAAATAACGGTACTTTTAATATGAACCATCTTACCAGTTTTCAAGAATCAATGTAATTTAAATATATAACCGTTTGGGAGAGACGTGCTTATACTTCCTGATCATCAGAATCCGGTTTATTTCATCTCATATTTCTATGCATACAAACAAGCCCCTCATTTCAAGCAACCTACTTTTAATTAAAAACAAAAAACGAGTCTATAATCTTAAAAAAAATTCTTTCCAAATCGATCTCTTGTAACTGCGGTTTCTGTGGCCTCCATACATTTTGAGTCAATAGAAATATTTCTCTCTTTAAATGCTACGTTGCTCATGAGACCATCATTCTTAGCAATGAAACTTTTAAAATCATCGTTTCCACAATTTGACTCTGCGCAAAGATTGTAAACTTCGAGAAGTTCGCTGTCAGCCACGTTCACTTTCACCTAATGACGTAACAATCTGTGTGGGTGCCTGATGACATCACGACCATCCCTTCGGCATGTTGTTGCATCTGTGTAGACAAGATGAGATCCTGAGATGTGAAACTAATATATATATTCTTTTCAACAAATCAAGAAAGCACTAACGCACGTTTCCCGTCGTGTTTTTTTTTAAATTTCCTATGCATACGAAAGCAGCAGAGTCATTTATATACAGAATATCCCAAAAATATGTATACACACATTCAGTTAATCTGCGTTGCTGAAAACTCAATTGACCCTCAGCTAGAACTGGGTTAATATAACGTATTATAATGTGTATACATCTTTTTGGGACATTCTGTATATGTGTGCCCCATTCCCTAATGGGATCCCACATGCATTGGGATCGAAATATTCTGAGTTCAACCGTTACCATTTTTGTAACATAGTCGGCTGTAGGTCAGGCTAGGTTTGAGTCGTAACTCAGAAAGATACAACCACGTCAGAAGAGAATAGTTCAAAATAGGATTAGCAACGAAGATCTCTGTCTTTTGGGTTGTTGCGCCGTGTAGTCTGGTACAAGTTTACCAACGTTTCAGAGGTCCTTGCTGTATCCATCATCGCCCTGATTATGGAGGCACAAAGCACCTCTGAAACGTCTGTAAACTTCTACCAGTCTACACGGCGCAACAACCCAGAAGACAGAGATATTCAGACTTACCGCCGTGAAAACCTCAAATCCTACAAGATTAGCAACAGTCAAACATTTTAGGAACTACTGTCGTAAATTTCTTAGCGCTAATCGATTAACTTGCAACACGAAACAAAAAAGTGTTTGATAATTTTCCTGTCACAATAGAACTTCATGTCAACAGATTTTTTCCTTCTTTCTTATATTTGTGTCCAGTCATCACTGCAGACCAATGCGGGAGTACACACACACAATCTCCTAAACAAGCTCATCTCCTAGGTTAGAATCGTAATTTTTTAGTCTAAGTTAATGGGTAGACGGATCAAGTCTGCCACTTTAAAAAGAACATTATTTATGTTATAACGTGTGTGTGTCGATTAGTCTAATGGATAAGAGAGTTAAAAAGACAGCGAGAAAGATACAGAACTCGGACGAAGTAAACGTGCCATATATCAAGACCACTGTTCTGTTCAACTAATATCCTAGATGTATCAAACGAAATACTGTGGAACGCGGGTTTCGGGTGACAGCTTCAGTACTCGCATTATACGTGAACCTGACATCTAATTTTTGAATCCCTGATATTATGTATATTTATCCAGTGACTAAAATACATGAAACTTAAGGTACATTTCAAACCTATATTTCACCAATTCTACTAACACAGACCATTAGCATCAGAAAAATGCAACTCTTCCTGTCTCAACCAAAATCGGTTTTCACTAAATTTTGCTGTTTGAACAAAATAACCCCAAGGTTACAGAAATCAGAAACATACCTATTCATAGCGGACTATCGGTTTTCACTAAATTTTGCTGTTTGAACAAAATGTTCCACTGTATCAACAATGAATCATGGAGTCGATAAAGAACGTGGCTATACTTGCACCATGAAAAGCGTTCTCTTAACTTCACTCCGCACCTCGCAAAGACCATCAATTTTCATGCAGCACTCTACCGAGATTATAAAAGTGTGAAGTTTTCCTTCACTTCACCTATCCGGCATTATGAGGTCGCGCTAAGGCAGACGAAAATCTATGCCATAAGCTTCTTACTAAAATTACAAAATAGCACGTTATAGCAGAACATTCCAGAACCGACAAGTTTCAAGGTTTCAGGGCTCGAAAGTGATCCAGCATCCAAATCTACAGCATATTTATGCGATAAAATAAACTATGGTAACCGCGATACACTGTTCACTGATGCTTAGAAGGGGGCGCGGACAATACTTTCTTAGTCACGACAATTAATTATTTCACAATTCACGTCGCCGCCACCATAAACTGAAAAGGAAAACATAAAAAAGTACAACTACACAGTTCTACAATAATTTGTATTACGGTATCGATTATGCACCATTCACATTGCAGAAGGAAGATACTATTACAGTTCTCATTTAACACTCAAATATTCAGCAAAGTATCATACAAAAGTTCAGAAGCATAAACTCAAAGAATCGTGTTTAATGACCATGCAACTACCAGGATATCAACAACAACAAAAAACTTCCCCAAAAGGATTAAACTACCTCATGAGTAAGTGATGTGTAATAACACTCGGATTATTATTAGGTAAAGCTGTGGGACAGAAGTCTCACGCTGGTCCGGTTACTGACAAACTAGTCTCGGGTTGCAAGCGCCATATTTATAACCACCGCATAGCACCAGAGCGAAGCGAGGCTGCACACACGCAAACTACTCGAGATAATAATCACTGACTTTTTTAATTGGTCAAAATTAGCGCATCACACCACTCTCTTCTTCCACATGTTCCTACAACGTGTTTTGTCGGGTCAAATATAATATAGAAACAATCACTGTCATTCCTACATTCTTAAGACAAAACACAATCTTGTTTTTTCTTTCTTTCTAGATGTGAGAGGCAACATGCACGGCCAAGTGATTTAAATTACTTTACACTGCAATGGCGGGCGAATCCCTTCTAAACGCAGTGTTAAGGAACAAATGCACTGCATTAACTAATCTCCTTTCACTTTAATTTAGAAATCTATAAAAGCGTTTTTCCCTCAGTGTTTCTTTAATAAAACAAAGTACTGAATATTCTGATCACTTTGATTTTGAATCATAAGCTGTAAGTTAACACCACTATACGTGTGAATTTTAAACTTTGAACATGAATAGTCTGTAAATTTGAAGATACCTATTCTTAGTTCTCGTTCTTGAAATTAGGTCACGGTCAGACTGAAAAGGCTGGCTCAGTGCTGTCAGTTAACTACTGGAATAAACCGCGCCGATGCAAATGAAACCAAGTTTCATTTATACTGTCCTCTGTATGTGCGTTTCTAACTGGAAGGAACAAAATGTCTTCCTTTCATTATCAGACAGCTCCTATTTCTAAATCTACATCAGTAACACATAATAACACACGAGTTTACAAATAAAATAGCATTGTACTCACCCCTTCATTTCCTAGGAACTGTATCGTGGGATGCTGGCTGGTCTTATTCTGAAATAAGAATAGAAAGTGTTAACAAACCACAAATCAAGAAAAATACGTAATGACAGGTAATAAATCGTTTAAAATATGTCCGAATTTTAAGTGCTTGCGAAAACCAACAAATTAATATTAGGTTGGCAGTTCATCCACACAACGATCCTTGAAAATAGTTTCAATGTTTATTAAGGTTCTACTACATGTTTCGACCTTAAATGGCCATCATCAGGTGGTTCTCTTAAAATGTTCGAAACTTGCAGATATGACTACTCATTTGTATACACATCTGTTTTTGACTTCACCATGTAATGAACTGTCTTAAGCAGCTTACCTTTTTTATAGTCCATTACATGGAAAAGTCAACAACAGAAAATACTGTCTCCCATGTGTCTATACACAGTAAAAGCAAAGCTGTCTCACTATACGCCATGTAAGCGCTTGGGGGGGGGGGAGTTTACAGCTCCTACTCATTCATAAACTCGGCACTAGATGGGGGGTGAGTGGTCAGCGTCACAGATGAACAGGTTTCTCATATGATTAAGAAGTGACATGACGACAACAACAATGATGATAATAATAATAATTCCACTATACCGCCACTTATCACCAAACTTCACTAGTATTTACTATTATGTTCAATGCTGCATTACCTAAATGGAGTCACATTTTGAACATGTTTCAACTGTCATGAAGTTACCACGAGGTTCATTCTGAAAAACCAGTGCACTTGGCTAACGTAATTTTATAAACAATATATAACAATGACAGTGCAACTGTAATTATACACTAGAGAACGCTAGAACACAAGCTTATAGATAATAAATTACGTAAATTTGAAGCTAAACATGGAACAATAAGGAGAAATGACAAGATACGAAATAAGTTTTATAAAGTTTTACCAACACCGACACTTTCATATGGAGCAGAGACAGGTGTATTAAAATAGACAATGATACGTACAATAAAAATTGCAGCGATAAAATGCTCAAGAGTAGTTCAAGGCTGCACAAGAACAGACAATAATAAATCATAAAACAGAACACCGATGCATAAATGGCAAGACCGTAAAGTGTACAATGTTAAACAACTGGCGCGTTCGCACATTGGAATTATAAACGACACGCCTGCACCCATGCTTCTCAAGTTAAAGTAAGCTAAAATCCATGTCTGCAACCTTCTACTTAAATAGCCAGGCCTATTTACTGACACAAGCTCAAAGAGTACTTATGACCTTACGTGAAGAAGTTGTTAAAACTGCCCGATCTAAATAAAATACTGAGATGGCCCAACTTCGCGTATTTTGGATTGTTTCCTGTTACTGGCACAAGTTCATTTTATCTCACCTATTTGTATTTTAAAATTGCTCTGACTGCCCGTCCATGCAACTCGAGAACGGATTGACAGATTTGGATTAAATTTAATGTTGAATGTTACGAAAAATTGTCGGAAGAAACAACAGTCTAATACTTGTATGTTTTGAGGTTTTCACAGCGGTGAGTATGAAGATTTCTGTCTTCTGGGTTGTTGCGCTGTGTAGTCTGGTAGATGACCTCTGAAACGTTGGTAAACATCGACCAGACTACACAGCGCAATCTTCAGTCTAATACTTGATACAAAAAGATAAAAAAAATTGCGTGACAAAGCGGTTTAGATTCAGCTGGGGAAGAAAGAAATGAGTCCAGTGATGGGTTTTGTGAAAAATGTGATGGACACATGGGCGCCATTAAAGAAGGTTAGTTTACCATCTGAATAAGTATGAACTATAACACGGATTTAGTTGGTAAGAAATTGTCTCGCGACATGAATGGGCCCGCCGCCCACAAATGGTTGGTCCCTGGTATATAATTAGATCGCTGCCAGCGCTAAAACACGCAGACGAGCAAAGACGTACTGTGTACAGATGCAGTTCGTGTTTCCTCGGCCGCTCAATTACATATCTGCGTCTATTGTGCCCGGCTACTAGGGCGAGACGTGAAAGTAGCTACAGCTGACCACGTAATGTGCAAGTTCCTCTTAACCTTCTTATTAGCTCACTACAATCAATACAAACTCCTAGAAGAGAATTTCGTTCCCACTAGAAGTCGGCTACATGAAAAGCAAAGTATATCAACAACAACATATTTTATATGATCTGATGCTTTCACGGCGACTAAGTTAAATAAATTCTTCTCGGGCTACAAGCCGTGTAAGGTGTCATGATAAACACCTAAAGATGACAGCACAGCCAAATTCTGAAATTTTGCGTATAACAAGTCAGAATCGACAATGTCCAAAGTAATACTGATACAAGTAATTTATAATCTCTTAGAAATAAAAACAACTCTACTTATTTTTCAGAGAAGGAAACCGAAAAGCAATCGGATAACAATCTAGTCACAATATACCACCTTTTCATTGGAATACTGTATCAGCCAATAATTATAGTACGCCGGTAATTAAACAGATTTCAATAACACAATCTGGTCAAGATTCTCCATGTTTCTACCTATAAACCAACACACATTTCCTTTCTGCAACTGTTAAGGTATGGGGCCTTGCATCAAGTAAATAATACGTGGAAACTCCCTTAGTCTAAAACATTACAACGCAGAGTACGTACGAAGGAAAATAAAATATTACTTTATCCACATCTGACTGTGACACGGGAGTCACTTAAGTCCATTCTCCACGGCTTAAGTCTTTTATTTTTGGAAGCAAACAGACTCTCATTAAACATCAGTGAGTCATTTACTAGCACAGCCTCGAAGTAATGTTATTGAAGCACAGAACACATTCCTTGCAAAATGTACTATTTTAATCAGCATATTCCTTAATGTCTATAGCCCAATTTTTTTCACTTTCAGACAATACGAATGTCGGTATAAATTATTACACGGGCATGAAGACCACGGATGAAGTAAGGAAAGCCGATTACATCACTTAGGGGCCGCTGTCTTACGTAGTGTTCCGAATTTAAATCAGTGATGTTGTTTAATTGAAGCATTGGACCTACATTTGTAATAAAAACATTTTCGTCTTATTACTAGCTAAATCTAGAAACGGCAGCCCACTTAATAATTAAACCATTGCCATTCTATTTGATTTTCCCAACCCATTACGTGTTCGAATTTATTTGAACGATTTCAAATTAAATGTCCTAAATGATAAACACGTGTCGGTACATACGTTAGTTGACAAGAAACTAATTTGAAGTCAGTATGGTGTTTTACACTTTTCAAAACTGCTCATATTTAGAATATAGATATCCCGCAAGCCATCAGAATACGACAATGCGTTAAACACAAATATACAATCACAAGAACGTCCGCCTAATCAGTTCATGTTAGTATTATAAATATTGTAAGTACATTTAAATCTCTACTGATTCTCACCCACTAAACTTGGGCCACACAGCAAGCTGCTAGACCCTAAGGACAAATACAACGCCTCGCATAATTTCAGTTCACTTTTCTTGGCCTATGCTAAATCTGTTCACAACACAATTGGAAAAATCCTGCAAAGGAAGACTTACATTAGGAAATTGTCCGTTAGTAAATGTTACTACAATTGAGTATTCAAATACGGAACAAGCTCAGAAAATGTATTTCGTAACGGAATGCACATATCCTCATGCGTTCGTCGCATCGTACATTAAAGACGTATTAAATCCGCCTTGTCCAATACGTCACACTTTGGTCGCAAGATCGCAGCACCTCAATGTCTACCTCACGACTTTCCTAAGCCGTCATTTTGTTATCACCGCTCGTAAGATATTCAAAAGTACGATTTTGAGGTCGTGCAGAACGGCACAACCTCCACATCAAATTTCATCCAAATCCGTCCAGTGGTTCTCGAGTTCAATCGATTGGACAGACATGACCAGCCCACAATGCGTTATCGCTATGCACTTCGTGAAAAGAACTCATAATAACGCTTCTACCCTACAAAGAATTAGAAGTAAGTACTAATGTTATGACCGAGGCGTGTCAAACAAATTTCTTTGGGATTGGACTGGAAAATTCACTGCGAACTTTCCTGCGATTTGTAGTCCAGCTTGTGTCGACTACGTCAATATATAAAATACAAATCAGAGATCTTAGGAATGTCAGAATATATAAGTTGGCACATGCTTTAAAATTAGTGATATTAGAACCTTCTAAAAAGTGGACATGAATATGACACGCTGAAAGCGAGTATATTCATTTTCGTGAATTCTGATTTGGGTCACACCACCAGATTAGGGTACGCCATGGATACAGAATCGATGCACAGTACAAAATAATGCTCTGATGGCCAATCTGTTAATTTTGTACTGTTGCAGCCTCCATTACTAACATATCTGTGGCTATGGGCTAAAAATCGATTGCTGTGTCAGGCATGGACAAATAAACAATAGAGTTATACTAACTGGAGAGTCAACAATGTTGATAGAAGGTACTACCAACAACACTATAGAAATATGTCTGCTATATACAAGTGTTCCATTCTTCCGTATCGCCAATCCTGACAAAATTATTTTTAAGGATGAGTAAAATTTTCATAATGCTCATTACTCCCATTAATGCATAACAGTCTACAGTGTTATTTCGTAATATTCCCACGCATAGATCTTTAAACTGAAAAAAATTCGTGAAATGCCACATGATAGAAATTGATTTTGTAAAATACAACTACGTGACCCTGCTGACAAAAATCAACTGACCAGCGAGAAGGGTCGTCAAAACAGTTAAGTGAGAAAGGAATAATTTTAAACAAAGTACTAGAAAGTTACACTGGACGACACTGTGTGTCAAAATAATATAAAGTATGAGAACTCAGTCCCACCTAGTGTTAGGTGAATTCGTGGATCTATACCTACACTCCATCAAACATCTGCGTGGCGTGGAGATTAAACACGAGTGACAACTTCATTTATCGTACGTGGGCCCTGCTGCTATCCCTAAAAATCAGTACACAATGAACACAGAAACGTTCAACTGAAGAAGAAGAAGATACAATCTCGTAGCAATCTCTTCCCAATTATTACATAGCAC